TGACAGGCATTAAAGACAAAATCAACCACAGATGCCGAGCACTGTGAACACAGGGTTCTGCTGCCTGGCCCCACAGCGGGAGCCTGGTGGCCAGTGTCTGATGTACTGGGACCTGCTGGACAAGGGGGACACAGGTCCGAGTGCACCTGGACCCAGGAGGACATCCTCCTCTCGAGCTGCCCTTTGCTGAGCCCGGTGGCCAGTGACGGAGGGGACTCTCCCATCCTCATTTACAAAGGGGGGCTGGGAAGGTCAGCGCTTCACCACTTCTCCTGCATCCCACTGTGACTAGAGGACGGGGCGAGCCACGTGCAGGCACGCCTCCTCAACTGAAGGCTGGGGCAAGGGCCACCTTCCCGAATGTCGGTCAGCAAGGATCCTGGAGACTGGCCAGAGACAGGAGGCGACTCACAACCTCAGGCAGGAACACGTGCACTCGGACCCTGTGCCTGCTGCCAGCTCCCACATGCAGCTGCAGTGGTCACTACTGGCCCGAGGTGAGCGTGACTGGGAGTGCGAGTGTGCCTGTGTGAGTGTGTGTACAACCGTGTGTGTGTGCCCAAGCGTGTGCATGTGCGAGAGGGAGGGCGGGAGAGCCTGCTGGCTGGAAGCAGACACCTGGCCCTCAGACCGGTGGGTTCCGTGTCCTACACACAGAATCGTTTTTAGTCACTCAGAGCTTTTCTGCATCCACAGCTTTCACAAGCACAAGAATGTAACGGGGGAGCCGCATTCCTGAGTGAAGCCGTCTCCCAACGCTGCAGTTTCACGGAACCCTCCACGAAGCTCCCCCTCTAATCTAGGAGCTGGGTGGAGCAAACTGGTGGCATTTAGCCCTGAAGTGCCACAGGATTAAAGAGAAAATTGGCTCAAACGAAACCTCGCCTCTGGGGTGACTGACAAGATTGCTGGAAGCTGGGCCCAGCTCGCCCCACACCCCACCCACTGGACGCCCTCGCCTCCGTCTATACCGCACTGTGCAACACGTTTAAATGATGTTTCATGTCAGTTGTCACTGATAGCTGCATGTAACTTAAAGCTGAAACTATTATATAAGATGGCTCCTGGGAGCAATGCTGACCTTAGATACGGTGCTCGCCCCCCTTGGGAGCAGCCCGCTGTGGCCCCACTTCTGCTTTGTTCTCCCTCCTCTATGGTTCAGGCGGCAGAGCCCCTGCAGCTTGCTGCTGTCCACAGCTGGCCGCCCGAGTGCATGCGTGCCAAACCGGCCGGCACGCCGTCCATCACGCTCATCAAAGGCCGCGGGGCAGAGGAGCAGGGCTCAGTCCAACTTTCTTGCATTAAAAAGATTTTTAAGAGACCTTGATAAAACTGGGGCTTCCTGCTTTTTGATGTGTTTAAGTAGAAGAACATTTTCTTGTAAAAAGAGCTAACACGTCGGGAGCAGGAACAGGCCCCAGTGGAAAGTCAAGTTCTCTGTCGCTGTTCTAAAATGACTAGCGGGGAGTCCAGAAGCTTTAGGGGGGTTTGAATACACACATCAGTCATCTTTTAACTCCAGCAGACAAGGGGGAAAGGATTGTTTTATGTGGAGAAAGGACAAGTGATGTGTTGTGGACACTTTAAAATGCAGACTGGTATTTTATTTGAGAATATCAAGCATATCACTAACCAGCTGACCAGAAATGAGATGACACCCGGATCTTTGATCCATGTGACTTAGGTTAAACGAGCACCATCCAGGACAAGCAAAGGCTGTCAGGGGAGAGTAGAGCCACCCAGGCGCCCGCCCACTCTAAGCCCCCTGCCCACACCCCACGCCGGCCGGACCTGCCCTAGCAGAGGGCAGGGGGCATGAGCCTGGGACCCCGGAGCACGTGGCTGCACAGGCAGTTCCCCGAAGGAGCTGGGGTGCTGTCACCGTGGTGCCAGGGTCCAGACTGCCCCCCGAGCCTCAGGCTCAGCCCTCTCCCCAACTGCCGCCCCAGGACTGTGCTCACCTGGTCATGCCCTCCTCAGGAGTGGCCCCAGAGCGGGGCGCATGGCCGGGCAGATTGTGATGGCTTTCCTCCCTGGGTACCACACTCTCCAGGGACGCCTGGCCCCCCTCTCCTTGTCAGGCCACCTCACATGGAGGACACACGCAGAGCTTCCTGAGGATTTAACCCCAAATCAAGTCATTCTCACACTTGATCCTCAGCTTGTGGCCCGCCAGGACTGGGCTGCAGACCTCACATTTGCCTCCAAACGCCATCTTGTCAGTTCTGTCCACCCTGAGCCCGGGGGGCACATCCACACGCTTCATCCTCCTGTCCACAGCATGCCTCTGTTAGTTCACTCAGGTCAAAGGGAACAACACTGACTGGAAATGGCGTGAGGACAGAGCCCTGCATCACATCACGGGAGACCTCTCTACAATGTGTCGCCCCATGAACCTTGTTGGATGCAGTCAAATTTAATACAGTGGTCCCTCCTTATCTGTGGGGGATACGTTCCAAGACCCCCAGTGGATGCCTAAACCTGTGGATAGCACCGAATCCTATATAGACTATGTTTTTTCCTATATAAACATACCTATAAGTTTAATTTATAAATTAGGCATAGTAAGAGATTATCAACCATAACTAAGAATAAAATAGAACAATCATAACAATATACTGTAATAAAAGTTACCACAGATCTTAGCAGCCTCAGAATATGATTTTTTTTCTTCAAAGTCGAGAACTTTCACCTTTTCACTTAAAGGAAGCAGTTTAGGGCTTCTCTTTGGCATACCTGAATTGCCAGCATCACTACTCTTGAGCTTTGGGCCATTACTATGGAAAACCAGGGTGCCTTGAACACAAGCACTGCGGTACCTTGACAGTCAAGGTGATAACCGAGGCGGCTACTAAGTGACTGATGGGTGGCGGCGTCTGCATCGTGGATGCGCTGGACAAAGGGATGAGTCATGTGCCAGGTAGGACGGAGCAGGAAGATGCAAGATTTCATCATGCTACTCAGAATTCCTAAGTTTCATAAAAAACTTATGAAGTGTTTATTTCTGGAACTTTCTTTTGGACCGCAGTTGACCACAGGTAACTGAAACCGTGGAAGCGAGACCGTGGATAAGGGGGACTACTGTATGTACCTTCAAGAACCTGCCTGAAGCCCCCCTTCGCTCCGCCCGTCAGCACCTTCCTCGAGCATCTCGTGGACTCTGCCCTCTAATGCACTTTGCTGACGGGGGTCTAGGGTGTAGGAGGGCAGCCTCAGGGACGGGTCAGGACAGCTTTGGGTGACTGGTCTCCTGGAGGAGCCCTAGCACTCTGACCATCCCAGGGGGAGAGCCCACTGCTGACTCCACACCACATGAGACAGGCCTTATCAGGGGCCTTCCCAGCCAGGCTGCAGCCAGCCTCACCGCATCACCCTTTCCGGGGGTTTCTGGGTCTTTCGGCCTCAGTGTCTCCTGACAGAGAGGAGAGAGTGGGGGTGGGAGGGGCGCCCTTGCCCTCTATGCCAACCAGCAGGACACCAGCTGGCTGAGCAGTGCCCAGTGCCTCCTTGACCCACAGTCCTGAACAGGACCCGACGGCCACTTGGGTTGTCTCCACCTCAGCCGCCCCAACATCACTCCTCGGGGCCGCCCCTCTCTCTCGCCCACTTCTTCTCAACTGGACGTCGGGACCTCCCCTAGTGGCCTGTGGATCCAGGCATCCCCCTCCTCCTGCCATATGTGCTCAAGGCTGCATTTCTGGTGTGGCCTGTTCCTCCTGAGCTGTGCGTCTTTGAGCCTCAGGTCAGAGCCTTGTCACTTAGGCTTCTCTCTACTCTGGGTGGTGACCAGCAGGAGCATGGGGGCAGAGACAACGGTACCCTCACTGGACATCCGGGTAAGCCTGGCCCTACTGAAGAGCGTCCTCATGCATCGCGAGCCTGGAGAAGCCCCGTGTCGTGTGATGCGGTGAGGAGAGGTGAGCCCCAGGGGACGGCATGAGAGTGCAGCTCATGAGCTATGTCCAGGCGTCCCCACCGTGGGCCCTGTGCCCGTCAAGGCCCTGTGTCTGGCGAGCTGGGCGCCAGGCCCCTCCCTGCTGCGGGCTGGGCCAGTGATCCAGGGTACACTGCCCCTGCCCCCCACAACACCAGCCGGCTTGTTTCTAGGACTCACGTGGTAAGGTCACCGCGAGCAATGAGAGAAAGCTATGCCATGGGGAAACCTGAACCTGCCCATGATCCTTTGGTGGGGTCAGGACACAGGTACGTGGCCCCATAACCACAGGCCTGTGGGTAAATTTCAAGTTTCAGGAAGAGCACATTTCGGAAATTCAAAATGAAAGCTACAAACCAGTTTTGTGTCACCAACTTTAGAGGCTCAGCAGGCTGGACATCACACTGTCACCAGTAGCCCATCCCCTCCCACCATCCCGTCCACCTGGAGTGCCAGCCGGGAGGGTGCGGCCCCGCCTGCTGTCACCCTGGAATGGAACACTCCCAGTGGCTCTCTCCCTTGAACCCTCAAAAGTTCCCTCCCCCGAGCCAGAGCCTTTGAGCTCCGGCTGTGCAGGCCAGGCCACAGCATCTCCCTGACTTTGTCCTGTGGCCTGAGTGGGACACAGTACAGTGCCCCGACCCTGGGCGTCACCTGAGGGGTCAGAGCAGCCAACGGGGCTGCCGATCAGGAGCCGCGGTGAACGGAGGCCCAATATCTGACCTGCATAGTGACACCCCCCTCAGAACTTGCCTTAGAAATTCTGGAACTGACTGTCCATGAAGGAGGAGACCAAGAGATTCATATATTCTCCATGTGGCCCACACGTAAAGGTGAGGCACTTTAACACACAGAATGCTGAACCACCTTTTCAAGAGAAAAGGGTTCTTATGATCCTTGTGCTCACCTCCTTCTGGCTGTAATTACACAGTTTTGTCAGATGTACAACAGCCCTACTAAGTGGGGTTGGGAGGGAACATTTGGCACTGAGAGACAGTGAAGTGAAATAGGCCAGGTCTGGGCCGGGCCCACGCACAGAGCAGCCGTGGCCTCCTGGTCCTCCTACCTCGTTTCCCAGCAAAGCAGAAACACATGCTTCCGAGGCGTCGCAAATGGCCGTGAGGTCGTGGCCCCCCTCCAGGGCCAGAATAATCCGGCCGCCAGCCAAGCCCATCAGCTGCTTCGTCAGGTACCCGAAACCTGCAACGGAAATGCGAGATGCAAGTCAAGGGTGGGGGCGGGGTGTGGGCCCCTGCCTGGCAGTGGATCAAAGCCCCAGAAACGCATTACATCACGTTATGGAGACCCAGGGGGCTGGCACACCGAAACATATAATAGAAGCCAGGTTTGATTGTAATAAATTCATCGAAGAATTTCGGGCTGGGACTCTTTTTGATCTGTTTGAGAGTAGGAATTACGGTCTGAAGGCTTTGATTTTATAATGCCGCAAATCATCTCATTTGGGGGGCAGGGAGGAGCCCGTTGGCTCTCTCATGCTGGGACCACAGAGGCCAGGCCTCGGTGGGCAGCCGGGACCCCAGCCCGCAGCTGTGAGGGCATGGCCGCATCCTCCCAGGGGCCCAGGGGGTTCTGGGCAGCCGATGTGGGGGGCACATGCGTGGACGCACACACTCATGCAGACACGCACATTAATGTCACGTGCGCACTTCCAAGACTCTCACACAGCCGTGTCTGGGGTGTCTGGCTTTCATCAGTAGCCACAGTCCCCCCAATGCAGCCACATCGCCCTCCCACGGGCCCAAAGCGCCTGATGGGTGATGATGATTGCCACCCTCGGCCGGGACAGTCTGTCGTTTATTAGAGAGCCAGTGAGCACTGCGCCACCCTGATTAGTGGCCCCATCACAGGCTAGCCATCAGCAGACCAGGCCCAAGGCTGGGCTGTGCTCCCCGGCAGCCACAGGCACTGGGGAGGCCGTAAGTTCCGAAGCCTTGGGTTGTCTCTGTCTGATGGAGATGCTGCCCACGGCTTCGAGGCTGCCACAAGGATGAAGCAGTTCAGGACGTGGCGGCAGGCTGGGCCGGGCACTGAGGGGTGCCCGGCATGGTGCACACTCTTTGCCCTCTGCCTGGTCACTTCGTCGGCCACTAGGCCCACGACCCGGGGGCACAGGGACTCTGAGAGGTCCTGTGCTGGAGCACAGCCACCCAGGGCCACTCTGTTTCCATCTTTCTCCTCTTGTGAGCCCATATTCTCCCCATGTGAGGGACAGGGATGTGGACGGGCTCTCCTCAACCATCTGCACTGACAGGAACCATGGGCCATGAGGGGACCCTAGGGCCTCAGACAAATCACGAGGGCCATGTCCAGGAGCCCAGAGAATCCCAGGTGCCTCGACTGCTGTGACACCCGGGGTGCTGGGCAGTGGTGGCGGGAGCTGGGGTGCATCCAGGGCCTTTCTGTGCACCCGAGGCTCGACGCCAGGAGATGCACATTACTTTGTGGTTTGCTGTGACAGAGCAGAAGCACAGGCCACAGCCACCACTAGGCAGGGCTCTTTGCACAGCCGTCTTTCTCCTGGTTAAAAGCAGGGCCGCCGTCCCATGCAAATCGCCCAGAGCGTGCACGGATGTGGGGCTCCCTGCTCCCCTCCAACTTGGAAGTGAACTTGCTCTCAGCTATTCCCCTCCACATAGGTTCCTCCCCGGTCAGCGTGGGTGACATGAGGCACTGCGTCTCAGCTGAGAAAACGTGCACCCCGGGTCACCGCGCTCAAAGGCTACACGACCTCACCCCAGCACGACTGCCAGGGCAGGGTGTGCTTGGGGCCTCCTGGTCTCTAGCCTCCCGCGCTCGGCTCACCCCATGTTCTTGGGCTTGCTGGCACTGTCATGTTTTGGGTAATACGAAAAACGTTAGTTTCCTTCTGTTGTCACTAACGCAGGGGCTTGAAATACACAGCACACTGGATCATAAACACATAGAGCCCCGGGTGCTCTGGGCAGCCTGCAAACCCACTTACATTTGGCTGAGAGGTTGTAGCCGCCGAGCGGCGTGGGGTGGCCCTCCACAGCGTCGAAGCCTGATGACACCAGCACCACGTCCGGGGCAAACTCGTTCGCGATGGGCATGACCACCGTTCTGCGAAGGGCAGGAGCAAGAAACACTGGTGAGCCCAGGTGTGAACACGGCTCATTTCACAGGTGTCCCAAACCCACAAGCCCCAATATGAAGGCTCAGGGCCCAGTGCAGCACAGGCAGTGCGTGCGCGGGCCGTCTTTTGCACATTTTGGAGGTGATCTGTGACCTGGCCCCCCCGTCCGGCAACCGCTGCCCTGACCTGGGGCGAGTGGAGCAGGAGGCTGGGCTACTAAGGATCATCTCCAGCCTCTCATTCTTGGTCCTCCCCGTCTTCCCCCCCGCCCCCGCCACCACCGCCTCCCTCCTGCTGGTGGGGACGGCTCTGCTCACGCCTCTGCTCACTTTATACCGACACTGTTTCAGGACGGGCACAGTCACTGCCTCCAGCACAGGTCCCAGAGCTTTGTGGCTGAGAAGGCTTGGGAGCCACTGACCCCAGAGGGCCAGGGCAAGGTCAGCAATGAATGACCGGATAACCAAGGAGCATGGAGGCAAGGGTGATGCATCGGGTTAATGAAAAACAAATTCTGTACTTAAGATCTTTAAAGGGGGAGCTGATGATCAAATTTAAGAGAGCTGACAGTTAAAAATATTTATTTATTCACAGAGAAATCCAGTGGTTAAGTTACAGTAGGGGAACAAGGGAAAGAGTCTACTTGAAAAGTAGAAATACACTTCTTAACACAAAACACCCAGCCGGGAGCTCGCAGTCCGTCAGCCCGACCTGTAGACATGGGCGCTGTGTTATGAGCGAGGATCTATTTCGGGGCGGCCCAGGAGGCCCATGTCACGTGAGCTGCTCTATTTGATTTGGAATTAATCACCACTGACTTCACTCTCCTTCCTCCCCTCTGGGGGCACAGTGGGCAGAACCACAGGTGCCCGGGGCCCGTGCTCCTGCAGCAGCTGAGGAAGGCAGCCTGCGACTGCGCACGTGTGCTGTGCGACTCTGCTGGACTCGTCACTCAGCCCTCGCTGAAGATGGCCAGGTTTTACGGTTCCCCCAGGTTGGTAAGCCTTCTGCCTACTTCTCAGAGCTGCTCAACAAGTTTCTGCTGCAGCAAAGGCTCTGTGTTCCTGCAGCTTCTACCAGCACGCACGCCCAGCTCGTCTCGCAGTCTCAATTTCCTGCAGACAGCTCTTAGAGGCCCATGCGGACAGGGGGTCACGCACGCCCGGCATGGCCACGCTCCCTTCCCACACTGCAGAGTCTGGAACACCAGTGCCGAGGGCGGCAGGGCTGGCATGAAAGCCTCCAGTCTCTCCTTCAGCTTCCATTTCAAAAGGAAAGCCATCGCGTAAGTCAGCAAAGTCAACTCCATGAGGTACCCACTTTGGCCAAAAGAAACAAAAATGCTCGAAATTAAATGTTACTCCATTCAGGAACTCTTCTAGATTGCAGTGCTGTTGAGGATCTGGCTGCAGGTGGCGGCGGTGATGAAAACCCCTCAGGGCTGCAATAGGGGAACCTCTGCCCGCCCTCCACACAGAAGCCCCGGGGAGGAGCCGGCCGAGGACACAGGGGATGTCGGAGCAGCTGGAACACCGAGTTCCAGCTCCAGGGAACACATACCACCTGGTTCCAAAAGAACCACAGAGCGAGCGCCTCCGAGAGAGAGGAGGCTCGGCTGCGCGACACGAGGGCCCTCTGCGGCTTTCGTCCACTCAGGGCAGACGCTGAGAAGTCGTCCACAAAGACAAGCACCAACTTCACAGCTCGCCAGCCGAGCAGCTCACTTCTGGAACCTCGGACTGCGGCGTCAAGAAGGCCGGGCTTGGCTTTTGAACATTTCGATGCTTTCACTTTTCTTCCTTCTGAGGCTGTGCCCAGTTCAGTTTCCTCTGGAACTGTCTGCAACAGGCTCAGGAAAGAAGCTTCAAAGGACCCAGGGTCTGGCACTCTTCTCCTACAAGGGCCAGGGGGTCGATATTTTAGTCTTCAGGCCACACAGTCTCTGGTGCCACATTCAACACTGCTCTTGTAGGGCAAGAGCAGCCACACACGATACGTGAACATGTGAGCGTGGCCGTGTCCCAGTAAAACTTTACTTAAAAAACACGTGGTGGAATTTGGCCCAGGGGCCATAGCCTGCCAAGCCCTGCTCCAGACGCCTGTCAATACGACTTTCATAACATCCTGCACTGCGTGACACCAGCCTCAGATTTCATGTTTCCTTGTGTCCACTGCGACGCTTCCACAAAGGCTCGACAGACGCTGTAAACACAAAGGAGGAAACACTGCCTCTTAAACAGAGCGTTTGCTTCAGAGCATGTTCTGGACTGTGTGTTCCCGGTCCTGCCACGGGCTCTGGAAGTTGAGAAATTCTCACTCTAGGCAGTGGCAGGATGGAGCGAATGCCTCAGGATCCAGGAAGTCGTCTGCTTTTCTCTCAATGACAAGCAGACGTGGCCTGTCTTCCCAAAGGCACAGGTCCCGGTCCCCTCTCCAAGGACCTGGGGTTTCCTCAGTGGCTCCTGACGGGCAGCATGGCCCAGTGAGGCCACGCTTGACACTTGACACTTGCCAGTGCCTTTCACTGCCTCTGTCAGCCCCTGGAGACTGGATTTTAATTATTTTAATGACGTTCCTGTCGCACTAACCTGGTCTTCAGGTGGAATAACAGTTTCAGCGTGCTTTTGGTATGGATTTTAAAGCCAAGACGTTTTTTCAATGAAAACCACAGATATTTTATGCAGACCCCGGCTCATTCACAAAGAGCTTCTGCAGCCGTTTTGAAGCAAGTGCATGTGGCGGGCTTTTGGGCTCTGCTTTGAAGTGCTGCTGAGCTATTTCATTTCTAATCCCCCCACAAAATTAAAAAAACAGCCCTGTTAAAATCATCATTAAACAAAGTCAATGCCGAGAGTCCCTGGCGTCTGTGCCTGGTGTGTGGCATCGCCCCAGAGCCAAGCAAAATAAAATATAAAACACGGCTGGTCCTGTGGGTGTGGGTGTGACAGTGTGTACATATGTGTGTATGCGTGTGTGTAGGGGGCTTGAGCACATCGGCCACGCACGAGCGCGGGCAGCCAGGACAGTGGACGTCCGTGCACACACCCTCCCGTGTTTTCCTGGGTTGGACCCTCTAGGTTGTGACCCCAAACGCTCACTAAGGCTGAGACAATCTGAAGTGGCACAGAGTGCTGGCGTGTGCTGGTGGGCCTCCAGCGCCGACGTGCTGTCCACCCTCAGAAATGTCACTGGCCCTCAGTGGGACTTGTGAGAAGAGGGCCGAATGCGCCCTGACTATCCTGAGAACCTGCCTTCTAGAAGCTCTGCCTCTTCACCAGCCCGGGATCCTCATGTGGGAGGGAAGCTGAGAGAACATCGTACTTCGTAGGTGCTGCAAAGAGAATGGGGAACTGGCCTCACGCTTTATCTTGCGTTAAACTTTAATAAACAACTTAGTCTCTGGAAATAAGAGCTGAATATTTGCTGTAGGCCTTCCCTCAACCGGCACTTTAAGGTGAGTGTTTCTGTGGGGTCACCTTTGACCTACAAGGCAACCTGAGGGCAGAGGGGGTGGGCTGGGAGCTTCCCAAGGCAGCAGACTGTCCCCTGACTGCTGAGAGGTAGTGGGGTGGGCAGGTCTCCGAGAGAAGAGACGGGCAGGTGTCCATCAACGGTGACCCCTTAGTGGGGGAGAGGCGAGGGTATTGGGAACAAGCCCAGACCCCCTAGCATGCGCCTGTCCCTGGGGGTGGAGCTCAGATGGGACAAGGCCCTGCAAACGCCAAGCGCAGGGGAGCGCGAGGGCGACACAGGCTGCTCTGCATGGCCGCGTTGCGTGCTCTGCTCACAGGGCCGTCCCAGGTGAGGCCTGGGGACGCTGCCCTTCACTACGTACACGGCACTGTGTCCTCCCCTCAGTCCTGTGTTCACTGGTCAGCCCACACCTGTGGCCTGGCAGACACGACTGTGTCCGTAACCGCAGGTTTCCATGGGCAAGGCATCCAGGATGGAAGCAAGCCAGGACAACAGAGTGGGCAAGTGGAGTGCGACTTGCTAACGTGTAGAACCGTAGCCCCCAATCGGCCCCTGGCTGCTCTGCGGAAGAGACAGCACCAGGGGATACCACAGGGCACTGACAGTTAACAGAATTGGGTTCCATGAGGCACCATGAAACATCAGATCGCGGGGTGTACGAACAGAGTCTCCGAAACCCAGAATGGGATCTAAAGGCAATGATTAATTCCACAGTTGGTTCCAACTTCTGGAAAGAAATGACCTTTCAATTCGTCTGCTACATCAGGACCCTAAACAAAACCCACCAAGCTCACGGTCAGCACAAGCCTCGGGGCATCCAGCCTGGCATGGCTAACAGGCCCCGGAGCCGTCTCTCCGGGGGCTGTGCCCACCTGTGCCAGGGAGCATCTGGGAACCCGGGGGGGCAGCGCCAGAGGTTCCAGTGGAGACAGGATTCAGGGCTGACGGCCTCCCTGCATCCCTGGCTCCTTCCTGATCCCCAAGTGCCCCATAAGCATCACCCACACAAACTATGTCCTTTCCTGAGGAGCATGGAAGCTCCCGTGGCCAGGGCCTCTGCTCAGAGTGGGCATCCTCAGTCTTCTTTCCTCATCATTGTGGTTTGTGGGTAAGCTCGCAACTAGATGTCTGTAGCAGGGTGAGGGAGCAGGAACCACCTCACAGAAGAATAGCTGTGGCCGAACTGAGCCACTTCCACAGGAGGCTGTGGCCCTGGGTACCTGACAACACAATTTTAACAATCACAGTGTTTCAATAGATGAAAAATTCCTTTAGTGGTGTGTGGTGCAATTCTTGCTGTGAGAGGCAGGAAGGAGGCCGAAATCGGGAATCAGCGCACATCTGCATGGTGGGTGTGGCCTCGAAACCAGCCCAGCTGCGGTGTCGTTGAGCTCAGGAGTTCCACCGCATCCTTTCAGAGTCACCAAAACCCATGGTCTCCGCCAGATGTGCCAGGACAGTGGCTGGAGCGACTGCCCGTCAAGGATTCGAAGTCTGCTGAGAGTCGGATCCA